CCGTTGTTATGATCCGTAAGTACATAGACAAATCTCTCTTTGAGCATGTTTCTACTTACACAAATGCTTATGAATTATGGACTAAGCTTGAGTCCATGATTCAAAAGAAGACACCTCGTAATAAGGCCAATTTAGTTCGACGGTTGGTGAAGTTGGAGTATAAGGATGGTCATAGTATGATTGAACACCTTAACAATTTCAAGGGGCTCGTAAATCAATTAACCAAAATTGAGATGAAGATTGATGACGAGTTGCAAGCCCTTCTACTCCTGAGTTCCTTGCCGGAAAGTTGGGACACACTTGTGGTTACGCTTAGTAACTCAGCTCCGGAAGGAAAGCTAACCATGGATACAGTCAGTGATAGTCTTCTTGGAGAAGAAGCAAGGAGAATGGAACGAGGTGAGTCAATCCATCCCGAGGCCAATGTTATTGAGAACCGGGGTAGGAATGAGACTCGTGGACGCAGTAAGTGCCGAGATCCATATCAATCTCGAGGAAGATTCAAGTCACGCTCGAAGATCACATGCTACTACTGTGGAAGATTGGGCCATAGGAAAATGGAGTGTCGATCCCTCAAGAGAGACCAAAAGGCCGGTAACGTCAAACTAGACCAAGTCAGCCCAACAAAGAAGCAAGAAGAGAAGAGTACCACTGCGGTGGTCGCAAAAGAAGATCTGCTATATCTTGTTGGAGAAGGTAATATTCTCAACATTGCTTGTGATGATAGCTCTTGGATTGTCGATTCTGGTGCTTCCTTCCATGTCACTCCCCATGGAAGTTTCTTCTCATCCTACCAAAGCGGTGACTTTGACACGGTTCAAATGGCAAACCAAGATAGAAGCAAGATTGTTGGGATAGGAGACATCGTCCTAACAACTAGCACCGGATGTAAGCTTGTTCTCAAGGATGTGAGGCATGTCCCGGCCATGCGCCTCAATCTTATCTCTGCTGGAAAGTTAGATGATGCTGGTCTGATGAACTACTTTGGTGAAGGAAAATGGAAGCTCACCAAAGGAAGTCTGGTCATGGCTCGAGGAAATAAGGAAGGCTCATTGTACGTGATGCAAGCCAAGCTCTGTAAAGGGGAAGTAAATATAACCACTGATGACATGGAGGTATGGCACAAACGACTTGGACACATCGGTGAGAAGGGACTCCACATACTCGCTCGCAAGCATCTCCTCCCGGACATGAAAGGTAATTCACTCGATCCTTGTGCACATTGTTTAGTTGGAAAACAACATAGGGTTGCTTTCCAAAGATCTTCTCCGCCCACAAGGAGAAAGAACATCCTCGACCTTGTACACACCGATGTGTGCTCAATGTCCGAGAGATCCATTGGTGGTGCATTGTACTTCGTGACCTTCATTGATGATCATTCAAGGAAGGTGTGGTTGCACCTGTTAAAATCCAAGGATCAAGTGCTTGACGCCTTCAAGGAATTCCACGCTCAAGTAGAACGTGAGACCGGCCGAAAGATCAAGTGTGTACGGTTAGACAATGGAGGTGAGTATAGAGGTCCCTTTGAAGCCTATTGCAAGAAATATGGCATTAGGCTAGAGAAGACTCCACCCAAGACACCACAACTGAATGGGCTAGCTGAGAGAATGAATAGAACTATTGAAGAAAGAGTTCGTTATGTGCTCTCTCATGCTAAGTTACCCAAATCATTTTGGGGAGAAGCTATAATGACCGTAGTTGACATTGTCAACCTCACACCATCAGTTCCTTTGAACTGCGCCATCCCAGAAGAAGTCTGGACGGGAAAAAAGGCTTCATACAATCATCTTAAGGTGTTCGGGTGACGAGCATTTATCCACATTCCCAAGGATGAACGAGCAAAGCTTGATGCAAAGACAAAGGAGTGTATCTACCTTCGCTCACCCAAGGATGAATTTGGCTATCGGCTATGGGATCCAATCAATAAGAAGGTTGTTCGTAGCAGAGATGTCATCTTCTTAATATCAATAAGATATTAAGAACTCGGAGAAGCCAAGATTGAGAAGAAGCAAGAACATCGAACTTACTCCATTTCAACGTGAGGATGACACACATCAAGATAATGATGATGAAAACCATGAGCAAAGCAACCAAGAGACTCATGATGAATCAAATCAGGAAGATCCTCAATCTAGTTCTCTGCTAGCACCAGAGCCGAGGCGATCCTCTAGGGAGAGAAGACCATCCATCTGGTATAATACTGAGGAATACATTTCACTCACGGATGAGGGGGAGCCGCAAAGTTACAAAGAAGCAATCAATAATATTCATAAAGAAGAGTGGAGAAAAACCATGCAAGAAGAGATGCAATCCTTGCATGAGAATCACACTTATGAACTTGTGGAGCTACCAAAAGGGAGAAGAGCCTTGAAGAATAAATGGGTGTATCGAATCAAGACTGAAGATAGTAGCTCAAATCCTCGCTACAAAGCTCGGTTGGTGGTCAAAGGATTCGGTCAAGAAAAAGACATCGACTTTGAGGAAATATTCTCTCCCGTGGTAAAGATGTCATCCATCCGAGTTGTCCTTGGCCTAGCAGCAGTTCAAGATTTGGAGATTGAACAACTCGATGTCAAGACGGCATTCCTTCATGGCGACCTAGAGGAAGAGATCTACATGGAGCAGCCCGAGGGTTTCAAAGTTCCGGGTAAGGAAAATCTAGTATGTCGCCTCATGAAGAGTTTATATGGCCTCAAGCAAGCACCGAGGCAATGGTACAAGAAGTTTGAATCCTTCATGGCAGAGCATGACTTTACAAAGACGAAAAGCGATCATTGTGTCTTCATAAAGAGGAATGAACGTGGCGACTTCCTCATACTTCTACTCTATGTTGATGATATGTTGATCATTGGACAAGATCGCATAAAGATAGATGCCTTGAAAAAGGATCTAAGCAAGAGTTTCGCCATGAAAGATTTGGGATCGGCCAAACAAATCCTTGGGATGAGAATAACTCGTGATAGATCGAAGAGACTGTTATGGATATCCCAAGAGAGGTACATTGTGAAAGTGTTGGAACGATTCAACATGAACAAATCAAAGCCGGTAAACACACCACTTGCTAGACACTTCAGGTTGAGTTCGAAGCAAAGTCCAACAAATGAGAAAGAAATGGAGGAAATGAAGAAGATTCCATACTGTTCGGTAGTAGGCAGTCTCATGTATGCAATGATATGCACATGACCAGATATCGCCTATGCAGTTGGAGTCGTCAGTCGCTTCTTGGCCAACCCTGGGAATGAACATTGGGTAGCGGTCAAATGGATCCTCCGATATTTACGAGGAACTTCCAAAAGATGCTTATGCTTTGGAAAAGGAAAACCTGTGTTAGAAGGATACACAGATGCAGACTTGGCCGGTGATATTGATTCAAGGAAATCAACATCGGGCTACCTAATTACTTTTGCAGAGGGGGCTGTTTCCTGGCAATCAAAGCTGCAAAAGTGTGTTGCACTATCCACCACAGAGGCAGAGTACATCGCAGCTACTGAAGCTTGCAAGGAGATGTTGTGGATGAAGAACATTCTGCTCGAGCTGGGAATAGATCAAGAAAGGTACGTGTTGAAGTGTGATAATCAAAGCGCGATTTACCTGGCAAAAAACTCAACATTTCATTCCCGCACAAAGCACATTGACACAAGGTATCACTGGATCCGAGAAGTCCTCGAGGAAAAGAAATTGCATCTTGACAAGGTTCACACCGACGAGAACTGGTCAGACATGATGACCAAGGTAATACTGACAAAGAAGTTCGAAGATTGCTGTCAAGGTGCAGGTTTGCTACTACCCCCCAATTAAGTCGTGAGGGGGAGATTTGTTGGGATCCCTCCTTAATTGGAGAGGTTCTAGAAAATGCTAGAGCTTTCTAGATTAGTATAGAATTTTCTAGAACGTTCTGGAGAATCCTAGAGAAGTCTAGAACTCTCTAGAAGCTTGTGGAACAGTGTGGAATCCTCTAGAATATTCTAGAGATGTGTGGAACCTTCCGGAAGCCTATGGAAGAGTATGGAAGCATATGGAAGAGAATGGAGAGGTGTAGAGATTCCTTGGAATTCTCTAGAATAGGTAGTCATGTGTAGATCATTCTAGAGAACTACTCTCCACCACTCATTATGGAGGTGGAGTTGTATAAATAGGAGTAGGAGCCTCCATTCCTAACCATCCTATCCAAGAGTGAATCCACTTCTAGAGTGAGAAAGTTAGAGAGCCTCTTTGAGAGAGAAGAGAGATAACTTGGGAAGACATTTTCTTCAAACTTGAGTGAGCCACCATTGAGTGAGACAATTTTGTAACATCCTTGTAAATCCTACTATTCTTTTGTATAGTAGAAGAATCTCCGTATTGGAGAATTTAAATCGTGTGCTCCCATTGTTACCTTATTTCCTAAGTGCCTATCTTAACTTCACGAAGCGGGAAAGTCCGGAGTGTTTTTCCCAACACTGTCGGGCCATAGAAAGAAAGGTCGCTCACCACTTAAAAGTAAAACTTATATGAATTGACTAAAACTCATATACACGAATCGAAACTTGCAAATATCTTTAGAAAAGCTTCAACAAATCAAGTATGAATCCATATTTCATCGTTGTAACTTTATCCTAGAAAACCTTACAAAATTAATTTTAAAGAATATGTGAGACTCATACTAATCTTAATTCACAGTTCACGAGTTCATCAGTCATCTCAAATTGAATGAAAAAATTGTGTGCTAATTATGTCATGACTATTTCAGTGACTTGTTGGCCATCCGCCGTTGATACATCCATGGAACCGCGGCGTTTCTACTTGCTGGCTGGAAGACAAAGTGGGATAAACCTTCAGCTTTGTTCACATAACCAGACACCGGATACCTTCTAAAAACATTCCATCTTGATTGTGTTTAACAATAAGGTGTTCCATACTCGATCACCTTGTGCGTGCCTATATACACATTTACAACTAACAATAAACTTCAAAGTGGAATTCTGTGTGCATCATACACAGTGAAGTCAAAAATGACTTACTTATGGACTGTCTCTTTGAATTTCTCCTCATTCAAGAATTGTAGGATTAAGAAAACAAGTTCCCTACTCAAGGAAGACATGATCACATCTCCAAAAGTCCCTAGCTACTCCAGTGCAAATCTTTGGCTACAAACCTGGAAATACAGGGAAGATATGCACTTTAAATGCACACAGTACACCTATACAGAAAATGGGGCTCCTAACCCCCAGAATCATGAAACCCCTAAAAAATTCAGCTTTAGGTTTCACAGATCACCTACTTAATGTAGATAACTACGTTAAAAGAACTATACTTATATGAAGGAAACCATAGTTAGGTTCCACTTCGTCAATGCTAAAGCTACTACAAGTCTACAACCACAAAAAGTAATTCACTAAGATTTACTTCCATCCAGGATCATCGTATTTATCTCTTTCAACAAAGTCACCGGACAAAGGTTGCCATCTTCTCATTCAGCAGAAAACAAAGGCAAAGTAAAAGCTCTTCATACCCCTCCCCCACACCCACCTCGCCATGCCCCTCCCCCAGGCCCCAACCAACTCAAATTAATGCCTTCGATCCCCAACAAGAAATGTTCAAAACTTTCTTGGGAAATGAGCTCCAAGGTTTGCCAATAACATCAATTTCAAAAACACAATAAAGCATACCCAGGGCCGTCTAATGGGCTGTGAAAGTAATGCTTCTGCACTGGGCCTACAAATAATTAAGGCCCACATTTTTAAAAAACTAGTAGTATATATATGAATATTTAGTAGAAATTCAAGAGCCCAACTAAAAAATAAGTAGTAGTAGTAATAAAGAAAGAACTCAACACTTTTTACCTATGCGGATCAAGCAACTAAGCACTGTGATTTTCTCATTTCTTCGATTCTTTGAATCTTTGATTTGATTCTTTGATTTTAGTTTTTTGCCTAAATTCGAATTTAGTCATTATTTCTTTTTATTAGCCAAGTTATCACTAGTACTTGAAACAGTACTCCGTATTTGTTTTAAACACTACTCCATATTTGATTCTTTGATTTCAGTATAATTCTTCGTTTCCAAACTGTCAAAGAATAATAGCTCGGCTTCGTCTTCAACATTCTGCAGCACCCCATCTTCCCCTTGCTAAACTTGTCCCTTGCCAAAATCAGAAGCCTCAAACCCTCCTGAAAGCTTCGTCGCTTGTTCGCTGCTCTTGTAAAGCAGAAAAACCAAAAGCTTCGTACAGACAGAATCCAGATTCACCACAATTGCAAGTCCGAAAGAAAACAAAAACGAACCAAACAAAACCCCGCGATGACAACAAAACTCAATACCCTGAGAAGATATATGAGATATGTTGCCTACCGGGGAGAGATCGGCCGAACCCACGGTCTGGATAGGCCGCCGCCGGAAAAAAACCCTAGGACGTGCCTAGGAGACGACCGTGAGGATGGACGAGAAAACTGAACCGAATTTCTCCATTCCCTTTGAACCAAACTATATATATATATATATATATATATATATATATAGGGAAGAGATCAAATAAAAAGAGGTTCTCCCGTGCAAAGTGCGAACGGTTGCACTTTTTCTTCATTGCGTTGCACTTTTGCGTGTTTCTCCTGCACTTTTTCTCAATGGCAAAAAACTTCGCTTTAATTACGAAATTGCCACCGCGTTTTTGATCAAATACAGTTCACTTTTGGCTCATTTTGAGCCATTAGATCTAAAAATGAATGCATGAGATTAATTCTTACTTTGCATGGGAAGACCTCTTTGTATTTGAACCATCCCCTATATATATATATATATATATATATATATATATATATATATATATATATATATATATATAGGGAGCGGTTCTGGTAAGAACAGATCTTAGGAGAAAAATGAGAACAAATCTGGACCGTTGGATTGTATTATGTGGAACCAAATTGTGCATTTGGTGAAACTGAAATGTGCATTAAATGATATTGAAATGGGCAAAATAAAAATTTAAACTCAAGTGTGCATTAGATGAAACTGATATGTGCGGAAAAAAAGTACAAAAATAACATCACATCGTACTTTTTATTCTGCACATTTCACCTTCACCTAGTGCACACTTCAATTTAACGGATTCCGGTGAGAACGGTGTCCCATGAAATGGCAAGGAGATCATACGTAATTGTCAAGGAAAATGATCCAATCTAATGGCTAGAATTCGTTCTTATTTTTCTCATAAGATCATGTTCTTATTTGAACCAAAACCTAGCCTGTATATATATATATATATAAACACACACACAGGAATATTCCTGTCCGGAAATTCCGGACAGGAGCCCCGTCCGGAAATTCCGGACAGGAGCCCCGTCCGGCCTCCTCCATTTGGGGGCCTTCCCGGTGGTATTTTTTGCTCAAATTTTTTGTGTATGTTCCTCATCAAGTCTAGTTCATCCATACCAAATTTCAGCAAACAATTCAATCGGGAAGGTCATCAAATCATTTTTGTAAGTTAACTGGTCCGGAATATGTATTTTGATCCAATTAAAAACATCATAAAAGCCCAATTTTGTTCCCGTTTTAATGAAATATCAACTTTTACTCTATGTTTAGGGAGTGGTTTCAAAAAATTAAAAAAAGAAATCAACTTTTGTCTTAAAAAGAGTTGAAATGAGTGTTCTCAAGTGACAGTTTGTGCTTAAACTTTGCATTTAAAAGCTAAAAGTTCGAAGCTAGTAAATAAGTGCTTCAAATTATTTTTCACTTTCTACTACACAAAAAACATTTATTTTACCAACATTACTATTTGTTTTTCAGAAGCATCTTTTGCTTAAACACTATTAACTTTTACTATTAATCATTTTTCCTAAAATTAATTTAAGGAAAATTTCCCTAAAATAGCTTTGTAATTCTAAAATAGGACTGTCATGTTTTATTCCATAAATGTGAGTAATTTCTGCCAAGTTTGGCATTACAACGCTTTGCACTTGACATTTTTTCCAAAATTGGCATAAATTACTCCTATTTGGGGAATAAAATACGATTATCCTATTTTGGAATTCAAAATGTTTTTAGTCGACGCAATTTCTATTTAAAAAATCATTTTTTTGCGAAACCTCATCAAGTCAAATGTTGGTCATGTTGCAAAGAACACCCAGGGGCGTATCCAAGGGGGGGGGGGGCAGCTGCCCCCACCAAAGGCTCACTAAATCCTTAGAATTTCTTAATAAATACTAGAAGCTCAAGAAATTGGCGCAATAGAAAATAGGTGACAATTCTGGTACCTTTCTAAAAATAGGGGTACCGTACCTAGCATTCATTTGATTGGACCACATCACTTTATCAATTTTAATTTAGATTTAAATAATTCAACTGCTACATTTTCATTGGTCCATGTGGACAAATGTATGGTACCTTATGGGTACCATAGAAACTTCCTAGAAAATATTGATTGCCCCCTATAACTCATGACCGCAGCTCATAATTGTGTTAATCTGAAAATAAGGTTTCACAATCACTGAATCACCCAATGATCCAACCCATTTGACGATTGTTGATGAATAGAATTGAGGATGACGGCAATCGTGACTCTTATGAGTGCAGAAGTAGATACGAAGAGGGCCAAGACTCTCAACTCCCAAGAAGCTGTACTGCTGTTCACTTTATTTTAATTGATTTATCAATTAAGCAATTTGAATGGCCTATGTATTTGTTTGGTTATTTAATCTTTGGCAGTTAATCCGTGGCTGTGTAATTTGTGTTCTTTAGTTTTAAGGCAATACACAGTTATTTATTTTTTATATAAGCATAAAAATTAAATCATTGTTGAAGGAAATTCTATGTAGTGTGCTATCGTTTATATAGAATATGTATTAGGGTCATTTCTATGTAAATTGTGTAATCTGGGCCTATTGGCCCGTACCTGTAAACCCTACTCTATCCCTATTTATAGGGGCATTCGGTAATGAAACTCTACGAACAATTCTCCCTACAACACGTTATTCGGTAATGACTCTACCCGTGTTTTCTCTCTTCTCTCCCATGGTCGTCCCTCTGCTCCGCTTTCGGCAGCACCTCCGCCGCCGCCGGCCTCTGTTTCTCAACCATGCCATCTTCACATTCATGGCGTTGATCTGCTCAGACATATAAAATCTAGGTTGAAACTTTTCTTCTGCTCACAGTCCGCTGGATCTACTCCCTGGTACCGACGTGCACCGATTCGTTGATTCAGTCAATCGGATCTAAAGCTCCCAACTATCTGAACGGTGACTGTGAGTAACATCGTTTGTTGAGCCTTGCCGCTAGATCTGCTCGCAACTCGACTCCCGCCACCTCTGCCGCAGCAAATCAGCCTAAACATTTCACAGATCTGTGCCATGAAATCATATTCGCCCGTCGCCGGAATCAATTTCCCCAATATCGGCTTTGCCTACTCCCACGTGGAATCGATCTGTCCAGACACCCAATCCGCCGTCCAGTGCTGTTGCGCCACCTGTGCGACCACCGCTGACCCAGACGGCCTATCAATCGTATCTCCATCTCAAGGCAGATCAGTTCAAACAGTTCGAAGCCAAATCCCAGCGTAATCGGAAACCAAGCAATTCAATTCGGACAGTCCCTTCTCTGGTGACCCTCTCAATCTACTGCTTCCTATACTATCTACCAAATTTTGAGGTATTTTTAGAAATCGATATTCATACGCTTTAACGGTGAAAGTAAGTGTTGTCATTACATCGTTTTCCGTTTGTATGAAATTTCGAGATTCATTTTTTTATTTGCTCCCTATTTGATCAATTGTCCATTGCTGCCAATTTATTTAATCTAGATTCAATTTTACTCGTTTTGCATCAATGGCTCTTAATACATATTGCCCAGTTCATGCCTGCCTGGATAGTGGATACGTAATGATTGATGTGCATTTTGCTTGGCTAGCTATTTGCTACTTTTGATAACAAAAGTTACGATATTCAGAATATTAGAGAACATGTCATGTGTTCACAATTTACAATGTGTATACATAGTAACATAGATACTTTATATACTACTCTGTATGTGACTATGTTAATAATGAATTAGCTGTTAAGCATATTCTTTTATCTATCCTTGAATATTTGGTGTATTATGATGACTGTGCACATCATGATAGCTCATTACAATTTACTTATGTTTATTTTTCACAAATTT